ATTAATATAATTATTCCGGTAAAAATAAGAATTCTAATAGATTTTACCAGAAATATTGTATTAAACCCAGAATTCCGGTTATCTCAACTAGAATTTTAAATAAATTTAACTAGGAATTTCTGATTCGTCCATTTTCAACCAGAAATTTTTTTCAGTGAGAGAATGTAATTTTAAGGAATTATATTAATGAATAAATTATATTACAAAACTATATAAATAAAACGAAATGAAATGATGAATAGATACCGTGTTGCAGATTCTTCTTTCAAGAGTCTCGACTCTGTCTTCAATTTTATCTCGACAAACTTCGAAGAGCTAGGAAACTTCCGCAATGCGTGCATAGATTACGTAAATACATCATCCCTTGAAAGGGATCTTATTAAAGTATAATTATGCTTAGTGCATCTCCAAATTTGAAAGCTAACTTGAGAGCTCGTTCGCGTTCTTAATCTAATTCACATTCTCGATCTCGTGCACATGATGCACGACTTACCAAATCATATTTCTGAGAAAAAGATTAAAAGCATATCTGCCGTAGTTCTCTATCTATAGCACAGAGTAAAAGCTCGCTACCGATCGTACACGACTTGATAAAAAATGTATCAATCCCCTTTAAAAGCGAGACACGTACTCAAGCAGCTACGAGCAGCGCGCATATCACTTGAAACTTAAACGCTAAAGAGAAGTTTAATGGACGATTTTAAGAACAACCATTCTCGAAAAGCGTTAATTTAACTTCGTCTTTGCGTTATAAGAAGCAGCGCAAACGAATTTTCCAATAATAAACGCGGGTGTATGGGAAGATATGAATTGTCTCTGTATCTTTTAGTACATAAATTTTCCATCGACTGTTATTCTTTAATAACGTCCTTTTTTTTTTTAGTGAAAATGTCGGTCATACGAGATATTCGCGTAGTCGATTCTTACATTTAAGACTGTCTTAGGTATAATCTTAACATATCATGAACCAATCAGAGAGTCAAATTAGTACTTTTAAGACATTACTTAAGACGGTTTTAAAATAAAAACGGACTATGAATATTATTCTTTACATATATTTTTTAATCGTTTCTAGTATATGTTACTTTATTTGTATCTCGCATTTTTAATTTCAGTTATTATGTAATCTCACGCAGTCATGATACCGTGCAACTTTAAAGCAAACGTCACTGCGTCACTTACATTTCGTACGCGAGAATCACGTTGAGGAAGAATATAACGCCACAGATGATTGAAGAGCTATTATAGTCAATTATACACGGTAGCTTCATCTCGTACGGACGTTACGTTAGAATACCTTTGGCGAAAGACGTGCGAAAGACAATGTTTCGGTTGCATTGGAAAGTATTATGAATGTACTTGAATGAATAGATGCATTGGTATCATAGTCACGTTTACGTCCCTGCAAAACTACTCGAAAGATCCTGCGAGGCACTTAGACATTCAGTTTTGCTCGCACGTCACGTCGAAAAAAATTTTTAGCTAGTAAATTATAAGTTATTTTGCTCTTGCGAGCGTCGAAATCAAACAAAAGAAATCCTTTTACGAAAATTGCAAAATAAAAAGTATATAAAATCGAGAGAAAACAATTAATAATGTTAGCAACTATTTGAGAAAGGAGAACTTAAATCGACTAACGAGATCTTCAAAATAAATTAAATAGAGAGGAAGAGAAAAATACTCTCGGCATGTAAAATTATTTAGTTGCTAACGTGTTATTACGGGCAACATTGCGGTATTGTATTTTTACGAATAGTAACGAGGTGATGTTTTTGTTTTATCGCATAGTTGGGCGCTTTTCAAAGAGTTGAAGTTGACGTGCGTGCCTGTTCATTAAGAGATTCCGTCAGGACGCCTTTAGTGCGAGAGCCCGACAAGTCTCGAAGAATTGCACAATGTACGTTTCCTCACTGCAATGCGACAAATGAGCATGACTGCGATAAATCGCTTCTTATAACAGACTTATATCTCACGTTCTTGTACCGTTATCGAACCGTCCCTTGATATTTAACTACCATCGTTTTTGCGCACCCATGATCGTCGAGCTGTTCGCATAAATAACCGTGCGCCATTAGGGCCGGGGTATTAAACTTGTATCGGACGAGAGTTTGCTCTCTTCCAAAATCGATATCGTGGAATCGTGGATCTGTCGATGTTGCACCTGGAATATTTGCCATTTAGCGAACTCGGTGCACCGCGAAATCTTCCATTAGTCAACTAACGCGAACGTGTAATTAATTATCGTATGTTACGAGTCAGTTTTAACTCATCGTTCATCTACGTCGATCCGTTTCGACTTATATCGACACACTTAGGCGTATTACCTGAGTGGTATTTATCGAGAAACGAAGTAAAATCTAGAATTCGGGACACGCGGCATTCATCAGATGAAAGGAGATCAGGAAAGGTGCGAATAAAGTGTGAACGTGAAGGCAATAATTTTTAAATTTAATATTGTAACGCAAGCGAAACGAACGAAAGTTTGAAAAGCGATACTTTTCTTTTTTTTTTCTACGTTCCTATCGACGTCCGAACTTTAGGGCGGTGCGAGTCTCGCTCGTGAAAAGCGGAACTAGCGAATCCGCTTTTCAAAGTTTCGCCCCTACAGCAGTACCTTCCAGATACTATTATTCTAGCTGTCGTACGGAATCAAGTCGGAAGGAAATTCTTCAGATACAAGAATGGCAACCCCAAACTCGTCCCTTCCGCCAAATCCTATACTTTTCGCACATGCCGACAGTCATCATCTTGTCACCCGGCACATAACACAAAGAATATCGACTTTCTGCTATATTTCTGATTGTGAGGAAGAGAGAGAGAGAGAGAGAGAGAGAGAGAGAGATTTTTTAAAGAATATATAAATGCAAATAAATTCTAATTATCTTGTTTCAATAAAATGCGATATAACACTTATTGGTTTTATTTTATTCTTTTCAGTTTAGTTGTCTGTTATTTCTACATTTTATCTAAAATGTTTATAGAATTATTTAAAAAAACATAAAAGTATATAAACATATGAGTTTTTCTTTGTTTACTTTTTTATCGTTTTACATTTTATTTATTATAGTTCCTCTCTATTTTTTAAATTATTTTTTCATATTTCAGTTCCTTTCTTTGCTTTTATATTATTTTCTTCGTACATTACTTCTTTCTGTAAATTATTTTCTTTGTTCTTTGTGTTATTTATATGTTCTTAGAGAGCCCATCTTATAACGACACAATAAACGTTTTATCTATTTATCCATCTATATGATGTGTTAATGTATGAAAGTTTATTGAGCTCGAGTGTGTGGATGTTCGTTAAATGACGTGGACCTGTCATCTATGCGGAGAGAGATATTTCTTTCAGAACCAATAAAATTCATGACTTCTAAACGAATGAGCAAAGATAAATTATATAGTCGTAAGTGTCTCATAAAATTGTTGACGTCTTGAATCATTGATGTTGCGATAAATATTAGAAGAAAACATTCATTAGCCAAAATTGTCACTTAAAAATGATGATTAAAAATATCGATTTATCATGTATGAGCTATTTATATTAGATATGTATAATTATTTATCTATAATAAAATAATATTCCTCGATAACCGCAAAAAGTAACAAAAGTAAACAATAAGATTTTCAAAACAAATCGTCCAGTTTATATTTTATCCTTTAAAATAGACATTTATATTTTCCGCTATTATGTGTTGCATTTAGTCGTACTTCATGTTCCTCTTGTTGTACAGCTTGTAAAGGATGCCAAGTTGATTGATGAATTACTACTTTTACGGAAACAAAATGGCCAAAGGCAAAAACTTATTTTTGTCCGGTAATCTATTGGAGTAATGCATCACCCGGTCTCCACTTGTCATAATTGCATCCGTTCCGTTGGATGCCGTCTTTCGTAATCCAAGCAAGGTCACTCAGTTCGACCATTCAACGAGATCATTTCAACCAATTTGCAAGTTATCGACTAACAGAATCGCATTTAAGAATACAAATGTCCGCTATTAGACATAGTAGGTAATTCAGTTTGTCCAAACCTCCCACGAAATCTGTGGGGGATAATCGCGGGGATAATCTTCGGCCGCATTCTAATCATGAGAATGGAACCAAAACGAAGACCGCTAATTGCTTCTATCTATCACATGCTCCTGACTCCATTACGTTAAGCCAACTTCCAAGGCGTTACAATATCCGCGAATATTACAATCCCGGGCACGCCCGTTTGTCGATTGATCTTCACCGTCATCCCCAACGCGCGAGTCTACCGATTCCGTGCGCGTGTGTACAAAGCGCACGTAAGTCCTGATCCTCGTTATCTCTGCTCTTGTATCTTGGCGACGACCACCATCGAAGGAGAGAAGCCCAGACTTTACGGTCGCTTCGGGAATTCTTTGATCTGACGGTCGTTACGTCACTTCCGTTACGTCTAGTAGTCATTTCGCCGGTTCCTACGCCGGCTAGTCTGATAGTCGCCTTCCCTCCCAGGCCTCCTCCTCCCCCCTCCCCCCCCGCAACAGCCCTTGCCACTCGGTTCACGCGACAAACCCAGACAAACTCCGGTCACGTACAATATACCCAGAAGCGTTCTATACGTGGTGATCGTCCCTGACGGTGTATAGACCGGCGCGACGACGGCAGCGATAGTAGACCCGGCTGCGCGGACGACCAATCGCGCCGCACGACTAGTGGGGATGCTGGTAGGTGCGTCGCGACAGGGGGGTGAGAGGGTAT